ATAATGATAACGATAACGATAATGATAACGATAATAATGATAATGATGATAATGATAATGATGATAATGACAACAATAACGATAACAATAATGATAATAATAATGATGATGATAATGATAACGATAATAATAATGATAATAATAATGATGATGATAATGATAATGATAACAATAACGATAATAATAATTATAATAATAATAATGATAATAATAATGATGATGATAACGATAAGGATAAGGATAACGATAATAATAATGATAATAATGATGATGATAATGATAATGATAACGAAAACGATAATAATAATTAAAATCTTTATTACAAAACCTCAATTAAAATCCTATTTACAATCAACCTGCTGTTACAAAAAATCTAATTAATTCATCAAAACACCATCTACAATTCCATCCGTTACAAAAGAAACCCCTCGGCCTTCATTAGAGAACAAAAACAATCCTATATATAATAAGTGAAGAAAGAAACTATTCATTTACAAATTCTAAAAAATAGAAGTAACTCAACCTTACATAAAAGAAGAGGAAATAGATATAATTAATAACAAAAGTTCAAAATTCTATAAAATTAAGAATTCCATTATGCAGAGATATTAAGATCATACGATCGAATTATACTAATGACGGCTAAACCAGTGTCCATAAAAAGCCCTAAGTATAAAAGCATATAGACACGTATTTCCGATATCCGCACTAGCGACATTTATTTTACAGTCTAATGATTGCTCTATCTTGCTACGAAACGGCGTTCGCGAACCTCTGACGCATGCATGTACCGATCTTAAGAGTTCAAACGAGATCTGTGTCCTGAGCCAAGCGATTACAACATGATAAGGCTCGGTGTCTTTCTGAGCTATCTTGTCTGCGAGATGCTTTAAGAACCGCTGACACTCGTTTCCCATTCCGCCATTGGTTCCAAACACTAAAGGCGTAGACGAACCCATTTCTACATCTAACACGTACCCGCTGCTGGTACTTGCGCTTCCTCTCTTCTTCTTGCTCTTTAAACACTTCCGATGTTGGCTTGCTCTGGTAACACTTGGAGTTGACGTGCGTAACTCTAACATCAAAAAATGCCGTAACTCCTCTTGCCAAGAAACCTCCCGCTTTGATGTCCAACCTTGCCTCAGAACTTGTAACAGCGCTCCTCAAATGAAATCGCTCGTTGTCCAGGGGTTGAAGGCGTGGTTCGATTTCGACATTATTGCAGATCTTGTCGATGAATGTCGTTAACAAGTTCCGTACACCGTCATGTCTCTGCACTACAAACCCCCCCTTTTTACAAGAGAGGGCGTGACTAACGGTGAATTTATCCCCACATATGCAATGACTTGGTAAATCGACTAAGGGCAAGTCATAACGCAAGCGTAGCGAGTCGCTGAACTCTTGCTTGTTGAGGGCTAAACCTTTGTCTGCGAGAGGCATCGCATTCAGCCAAGAACTTACGCCCTTGTCCCTCGATTGATCAACCAGACGCAGCAGGCCTGGGGAGAGGCTTGAATCAATGCTATCCATTTTCTCTTTGGCACTTGCTCTCTTAAGTGATTGTTGATGCCTCTTTAGCTCCTCCGTAGATCTTTCTCCTGGCACCATAATGGAACTCTGTGAAGTAATAGAATCTACGTGCGCGGTGGTTATTAGTCTCGAGGCAGCAAACTGCTGCGGTGCCTCGGATTCAGATCAGGAATGCCTAGACCCCCCCTGACCCGTTGCTAAGGTAGCAAGTCTGCGTAACTGGTTAGGGAGAGGCTCTGATTGACCGAACAAAGTTGGGAGTAGTAAATCTTCAATCACTTCCTGGATTGGATCGACATAAACTTCAAACGATTCAATCGTGCGCATGAAGTAGGTGAACTTCGACTTGTAGCCTTTTGTGAAAGCAATATACGCCGCATGGGGCTGGCTCTTCGCTATTTCAGAGAGACGTTCGATTTCCTCTTTCCATGCACGAACCTTCTCCTCACAATACTGATCTTTGTATTCTTGCGACGCAGTAACTGCTCCCAGATGGCGCTGACCTTAAGTCGTTATGTTGACTTCCTCTCCAAACACCCTCTTTGCTTCCTCCGCGAGTTCCCTAGACTTCACAATAAGCCAGCTCTTTGTCCCATTCACAAGGTAACCAAACTTTTGACCTTCCTTACTCAATTGCCTGTACCAGTTGTATAACTGCACTATACTCCCTCCTCCAGCTGAGTCGTCTGCAAGCCACACCTGTTTAACCAATGGGCAATGATCCCTCAAATTCTGTATCATTATGTATGTATTAAGTGCGTACCATGGCATCGCTAACGGATCTCCTTGTGTGGTGCCTTCTCGAGAAAGTCTTTCACCTACCCCACAAATAAACAGTCTAGATGGGCTTCTATATGTGTTAATAAAATAGAGCGCCATTTCTTTGCACATGATCTGGATATTGTGTAAGGCTGCTGACCTATTCATTTGGTTAAAAGCGTTACTAGTATCAATTAGCAATATTCCATCTGTTCCTTCTTCAACAAACACTTGACTCATTGCATGGATCGCAGCCTTCGCTCCTGCATTATGACCAGCGCAAACTTGTAGGGGACCCCCCGCTTCTTTTATTTCCTCCTTTAAGAAACCAATAATGATAATGATAATAATGATAATAATAATGATGATGATAATGATAACGATAACGATAACGATAACGATAATAATATTGATAATAATGTTGATGATGATAATGATAATGATAACGATAACGATAATAATAATGATAATAATAATGATGATGATAATGATAATAACAACAACTTTATTTAAGTATCAGAACAATAAGTAATATTTTACAATTTTAAATTATATCGTGTTGTTTGCAAATTAAAAGCTAAATATATGACAACAATGCTAACTATTAAAATCCTATTTACAATCAATTCGCTTGAAAAAAAGAAAAGAAAAAAAACTATTCATTCAAAACACTATTTACAATTCCTGTCGATTTAAAAAGCACTCAATTGAGCTTAGAAAGAGTTAATTTAACTAAGAAAAATTTATTCCAATTAAAAACATTTCATTTCAATTTTAAAAAAAACCATCAAAAATCTAGACCTAAAATTATGAATACAGATGTAGACCAGCTACAGCGAGAGTGAAGTCTTCTGAGACCTCACGTGATTTGAATGGATATCTAGAACCTCTGACGCATCTGTGCACAGTTCTTAATATAGCAAACGAAAGCTGTATTCGAAGCCAGGAAATAACGCTGGCGTAGGGTTCATCGTTCTTAGTCGAAAGCTTATTTGCGAGAGTTCAGCAAGAGCCACCCCCACGCTGCCTATGTCGCTTTCAAATCTCAAATCTCAATCTAAAATCTTTATTTAACACGGTAAAAATTCATCAGGTTTTTTGTTACATATAAAGTATAAACTGCATAACAATATTTAATAATAATAAATACATATCTAAAGAGTCACTACTCAAAATTATACTAAACTACACCTGTTTTCCATGAATGCCGTGTATCTAACTTAATTAACTGAAATGAAAGTTTAACAATTGCTTAAAACGATTTAGAGATTTCTCTTGCCTAAGATTGCAGGGCAGACTGTTACAGAGAGTTGCACCTCTATAGCTAAAGCTCATTTTTAGGTAGTTGGTTCT